GACTTCTGACTTCAAATTACCATCATCCCACTGTATGTCATATTCGACCCCTTCCACAGTACTAATCTTACCTTTTCTCTGCCTTTGTGTCTGTCTGTCTCTTTTACATCTGTGAATCGCTTTTCTTTCCCCCTGTCAAATTTTTCTCACTTTAATGTTCCTCCCTTCTGTGAAGCCCGAAGTCAGCTAATGGGCTAATGATAACTATCAAAATGCCTGCCATTTGAAAAAAACGCGTCAATACAGGCAGTCTATGTTGCCTAGTTGCCTGTCAAAATTAAATCAAGTGGGACTCACCTATCAACATATTTTAGTTCCTAGACTTTACTCAAAAACGATTTCAATTTTGTGCGTAAAACTTCTTGTTTTATTTTGTTAATAAAAGAAATCCCCAAATTCAACATCATTTGAAATGCATTTTTATATCACAATTTGCTTCCTAATGAATGGAGTTTTAATGATATTTTGAGAGATATGCCACTATATCAGATCTCCATACAGCCGACTTAGTAGAACAATAATCAAATATCTAAATTTCGATTAAGAGAGCGGGAAAAATTGGTTGTGATTAGTAGAGTCAGGTGGAAAATATTTGCTGAATTGAGTTGATAAGAATGACTAACCTTTTCGCCTTTTCTGCGTTGGATGTCGTCGCCGGTGAGATCAGAGGAACAACGACGCGGGAAACCCACAATTGTCGGCTGATGTGGCATTGAACGATCGCCAGCCTGTGATAAGGGGTAAATGCAGAGTTTGAGAAATTGCTGAATGAAATTCAACCCCCCCCCCCACTCCCACCCCCACACCACCCCAAAAGAACATACCCAAAGGGGAGTGGCGAGAAATTTCTTAAAAATGGCTCTCGAAAGAGAAGAAAGTAGCACGCGAAACAGATTAGCTACTAACTTGACACTGCAACGGAAAATTCAGAATCTCTCATGGGAAAATAAGCGCTTCATGAAAATTAGTCGGCTTGCCCTTGCCACTCAGATGTTGAGTTGAAGTTTAACAAATAAATCGTCCATTTAAAAACACAACTCATGGAGGCTGCAAGATGGATCAAATATGTGCCAGTTCGTATTTCAGTGCATTGATGCAAAGTATCTGGCCTTCTACAAGTTAGAGCATCCCCTCTCTTTAGCTTCAATTTGAGACATGAGCCTGACAACGATCGTCCCTCTTTTTTTTGCTTAAGCCATGAAATCTTGTCGTTGTCGAGGTAACGCGAAAGCTAGAAAATTAGAAATTTCATCCAAAGGCTGTGTAATTTGAGTGTTAATTCATGACCAGCAGAGACTGGTTCCAATAAAATAGCAGAATGCTGGTGCCTATCTATGGCGAGTGTGTGATGTTCTTCACAAGCTACGCTTCATTCCAAATAGAGTCCGATTCGAGTTTTTTTTCGATTTTATTTGTTAATGTTCAATAATAATAAAGAACAGCCCAATTAAGAATCATTTCAAACTGAAACAACAGAATTTCCACCAATATGATTTGTCAATGATAATTCTTACGATTAATGAATAGAAAATTCATTTGTTGAACACGATATTACCAAACTTATAAAAGCCACCCCTACCACCGATTTTGGGGAATTACTAATGTCCTGTAAAATTCACCCAATTTGAAAGTGATCTTACCATGATCTGAGGAATATATCGAGTGTCCTTTTGGATCATCTTCCTCTTTTGCCATTCACGGAACCAATTTTGGATCAAGAAAGTTGCGTAGAATTTACCAACCGTCACCACATCCAACTCTAGAGTAATAATTGAATTAAAGAATTAGCCAAGATAAATCATCGTGATTGTTAGATATATACCAATAATAATGGTTTCTTTTTACCTTTGGGAGGAAGAATTTGATCCAACAGTTTGGGACTCGTTCGTTTCCAGATCTTCTTAATCACCGATCGCAACTCCTCATTTAATTGATCCAACGACTTTTCCTTTTCATCGTCTGTATGAAAAATAAATGGAGCGCGTTTTTTTGCTTCAAAATAGAGATTTTATCAGACACGCCGTCTGACGTCTAGACGTCTGCAATCCCCATAACTGCGACGTGGGTTTTTGTTTTATCTAATTCCCCTTTTGATTACCCCAAAATCTATTACAGCGAAAACATTGTCCGTTTGGCAGCACTTTTCAAAGTGAACTAAAATTAGCAGTTGAGCAACATTTTGTCTCCCTAAATATTCACAGCTGCCTTCTTTTTGGCAATTCTTCCTCAAATGCTATAATGAAGGGCAAATGGGGAAATGACCTTGGAAGCATTTAGCGAATTCCAGAAAGTCTGACATTTCTTTAAAAGAGGAGCAAAAGACAAATTAGGGAATATTTGCAAAGACTGAAAGAAAGTTAAAACAACGAAATTCTTACGATTGATTTTATAAGGAATTCTCGGGTTTGCTTAAATTTTCATTCAAAATCAATTTAGAAAACCGTTCTTTTTTCCAATACGTATGTGTGGAAGGGTCTACTTGTGGAACTTTCATGGTTGGAAGCTCATTTTCTTTCACTCCACTTATGAATGCGTCAGAAAATTCCTCTGATTGAATGGGCACCGATGGGATTCGAACCCATGACTACTTAAGTCATAGACAGACATGTCAACTGTTTCACCTGCTTCAAAAACGGAATCGATTCCTATCGCATCGAACTAGGAATGTTTAGATCTTTAACCAACGGAACTAATCAAAGAATATCTTACCTTCCGGGACTTTAATTCGTAGATTTCGCCGCACTAAAGCGAAGAGAGTTGCGTTGAAAAAGACCGTTCCATCACTTTGCAAGGGCATATTCATTTGAACTAGTTTCTGAAAAGTTAGAAAAAAGAAGATGACGCATGAATGAGTCTGAAGAGTGGAGATAATTTCAATAGACAGAGTCCTTGTTCTATTCCACCAGATATTCGACACACGATATCAGTCAATCAGCCTGAGTTTCACGAATCCCTCCAACCCTCCCCTCCCCTTCCTCCCGAATTATTCATCCGGATAATTTTATAATGAATGTCAATCATTCAATTTGCGTTATTTCCAACTTGTATGGTGCCTATTCAAACATTTCGAAAACTCGCTTGGATTCAAATAGAACCCCGATTTTTCATTTAACTTCCAAAGAAGTGGTTAAGATTGTATCCCTATCAAACAGCATTAAAATTCAATGCGAGGCAATTCGAATGACCTTTTGAGAAATCGGTAGCAGAAATTAGCAGTCCATCTTCCTCCAACCTGAACACTGAGGGTGGAAAAAGCTCGAAATCCACCTTCCAGATGTTCCAATCTCTTCTCGAAATCATTTGCTTGTAAGATCAGACAAATATCGTTGTTCCTTGCAATAGCAGATGAGAAACACGCCATTTAGTAATCATTTTGAAGTTATTTATTATTCAACTTTGACCAATCGAAATTATTGATTACTCACTTTCGTTACACGCTACAATCCATAAGCCCCTCATTAAAAGTCCACTTGATTCAAAAAAAATTTAAAGTTTTAAGAGGTAGATATGAATTGAGGTGAAAATTAAAGGTATCTTGAAGTGATGCATACTTCCTTCTTATTAAAAATTTATCTAAAAGTGTTCTGTCAGTCAGAGCTTACATTTTTACGGGAAACTGAACAATAATTGCACAGGAAGGTGATTTCAAGGGGAGAATGGCACTTATTCGTGTTCTCTTAGTAGCACATTTAAATAAATAAGAAGGCATTACAATTTGCTTACTAATAGCAGAAGACCTACATTTCAAATTGCAAAGGTTGAACGCATAGCATCGCCTTCAACTTTTCCAGAGTCATGGAACTGTTGGTTGGAGGTAAGATCTCAAGACTAGAACACCACCTACATGATGCTTAAGCACATTTAAACTTAGAGAACTCTAACCAGATTTCCTCTTTCCGCGTTGCCATCTTCTTCTTCGAGTACTCATAGCGATAAAGGAAGCTTTAACAAGTAATCACTATACTTTAATAATATATACCTATGCAGCTCAATTGAATTAATATACCTCTACTCAAATTCCGTTAATTTGAATGTCCGAATTTCCAACGTCCGAATATTATCATGCAGACAATAAACAATCTGCAGTCATTTTTGTTTCTCACAACTCATCGCCTGTTTACCGTCGTCTGGAAAGTGCGTCTGGTCGGTAAGCTAAGTTAATTGAAGCTTTTTATGGGGGGCACATGAGGGGCTTAATGGGTTTCGCCGAATTGCTGACCCAACTCCTGCTCTACTGAAAAATTCATTCGCTTGAGTTCTGGAAGTGGAGCAATTTAGGTGCTCATTTGACACTTCAAAGGCCACGAGATCGATATTACTAATCATACATTCAGTAGAGGACATGCTCAAATGTAATGGCAAGTGCTGATCAAAACAGGGATTGTGGATTGAGTTACAAATTAGATCGTCTCTAGTAAGCAGGTGTTGACTATTCGATTAGAAAGCATTTACTAATACACCATTATTCAATTACACCTTTAATGATCTCAGGTAAACTCTGTAATGTTCGAAAGTTTGCCTGATCTCACATGCTTGCTTATGTGCTTAAAAAACGACAAAGTAATTAAAATTGACATGGAACAAAATTTAATTAAATCAGTCCGTGTAATCAGGCACTGAATATCGCGAGAACAATACATCAAATCGCGGCAATTGACGCTTCGAATGTTGGGATATTGCAGTGTGAATTGGAGGAAGCTAATGTTTTCAAAATTTAAATAAAGCATCACTCTTGATATCCTGGCTTCGTGTAAATAGCACTCCCCCCAAAACCTCGTGTTTCCGGCTTATTGTGTCAATTTTATTATAAAATTTTGTCATTTTTCGTCCTACCACAACGGGGATAGTAAGATCCCTAGTTGTCTAGTTGTTAGATTGAGAAGAAATCAATTTTATCTCGAACTAACAGATAAGTGCAACTTGAAATGCTGACCCACTGCACACTGAGTAAATCTATCTTAATTAAATACTAATTGGCTTTTTGGGTCGGACCAATTAAGCATTAGCAGGATGACAAATGTGTAAAATCCTTTCCAAATATTGTTTTCATACATTATGATATGGAAACTGAATCCGCTAAGTTAATATAATTAAGCATACATTCAATTTAAAACGAAATTTTTAACTTAAAATTACAATTCGATCTCGACATCTACATGAGAAGGGGAAGCATGATGTTGGCAGTACATTCTATTCATTGATAACCAAAGCTGTTTTCAAAGGTATCGTTAATTTTGGTGAACATTTTCAAAATGTTTAAGGGAAAGCGTTCTGCGTTGGTTCGTTAAAAATGCGAGTAAACCAGTCCAATTTACAGAGTCGAAGTGGAACAAGTTGGCCTTTACCACAGAGTGATACAAAGATTTTAATTTCGATGGATCAACAGCACTCACTCTGGCTTAATTGCCCGATGACCTTGTATGGCAAGGTCGCTGACAATTAAAACAAGGCATACTCATCCACTCACAACCTCACCCGAATGCGTGTAAGCGAACAGAATTCGCACCAAAATGCGTTTCACGATCTGACTGTGTCAGCATTTCCCCCAACTAATGTCCCGTTTCCTTTCCTACTTTTCTCCGCCGCCATTTGGCACCAATTGCCTGTCCCTTTGGAGGACTCCAACCGCAAGGGAGGAAGGGGTGGGGGGTGGGGGAGATTAACATGCAAAAAGGGTGATAGTAGCCAAACGCAACTGATATTTCGTTGTTGATTCGTCTTGTGACCATTCAATCGCTTAGAAAATGGAAATATTTTCCATTTAATTAATGAAATAGTCAGATAAGCGGAGCTTCTTGCAAACCAAAACGGTGATCTAATTTTGAACACTTAATTAACTTTACATTGGCTTCCTTCTTCCGAAGTGGTTCACATGCAATCAGCCCTAATGAATTATTTAAATGGGTAAGAACAGGCCATACAAACAAATCCATGAGAAAATAAACAAAAACGAATTCGAATTTGCCCCCCCCCTCCCCCTCCCCCTCCCCCTCATTTGACGATAATGACGATGTCGACAATAATACCGTTTTAGCATTTTCACAAAGCGGCCTTGACGCGAGTGGTCCCGAATCAGCATTTCACTGAATTTTTAGGTGGGTGAATAAATTTAATTATCCCGAACCAATCTCT